CTTCCGCTGCAAAAATATTAATCTGCAGGCTCAAAACGAGAAGGAATAGCATACGACCAATCTGAAAGCCCAGCAATGTGGTAACTCAAACTTCTACCCTATTCGGTTAAAAAGTTGTTTAATTTTGGCCTTTTTTCACTATTTGCCTTTTATCCTTCAAGCTATCACATATCTTCTTGGGGAAGTAATCAGTTACGAGAGTCTGATGTTGTATCAAGTTAGTTTATTAGCTAGTTACTTTCCCTTTTGGCAATCTTCCCTGTTAGCTGCCACGCATCTTCTTCTATGGTTGATTGATTGGCTTCTAGAACCTGGTGTGTTATCGAGACGACGTTCTTTAACTGACTGTTTTTTTTTAAATTTCTTGCAATCTTCCTCATAAGCTACCACACGTCTCTTTTAGAGTTTACCAGTTACGTGAATTTGTGTGTTTTCCCTCTATTTGGCGATCTTCCCACACGCCACTTTCTAGATGATACTGTGTTTTTTTTGTTTTGTTTTTTTTTTTTTTCTTATTAAGATAACGCTCTCAACTCCTTTTTTTTTCCTCTTTTACAATCTTCCCTTTCAGCTGCCACATTCCTTTTCCTAGAATCAATTAGTTACGAGAATTTGGTTTGTATCTAGATAACGTTGGCGCTCTTAGAATAAACAAAGGCATCAGTGATGCGCTTGTTTTCTCTCGTAATACAATTGTAATTTGTTGGGGGTAACTACATTTTGATCACTTCTCCGAGTTAAAAGATTCAACTTTCCCTCTCTGACAACTAACTGTAATGACTAAGCGAAATTGGATTGACAGTAACCATTTCAAGTTTTGTTTCCATCAATTTCCTCCCTACGACTTCGTTTATAGCTCACATTTGACACAAAATTCTTCTCGTGACTCGTAACACACCTCGCATATCTCGATGTTTACAATTGTCTTTTTCCAGTTTCCGTGATGTACGCACATTTTCATAGTTTAAAATTGTGGAATGCCGTAATGAATGAACAACAGGAAATGATCAAGTTACTGAAAACATTAGCCGTGTATTTCTGCCGCTTTGAGCCAGAAATTTCTTATTCTCACGAAGAACATCAAAGGTGGCACTTGATGGCCGCTTAAAGCAACACATTGAAGTAGTGACGTCATGATAGTCCAAGTTCAACATTCTTTTTTTACTAAACAAATCTACCTCCACTTGAAGAGAAGACTTCAACAAATTAGGTGGCTAAAATAAAAAGGAGGAGGATATATCCATATAAATAATTTTAACATGATTTGAAAATAACATTTTATAACATTTTATTGCATTTTATAAGGGACGTAAACCTTGACCTCGCTTTCTGACATTTGTCAATTTAAATTATGTGAATTATGTGTATGAGATGAATTGAAACGAAAATCTTTCACTATTGGTTTTTGGAAGGCTAAATCACTCTTCATCGGTCTTTTAGAATTCGTCAGTCAGTTATCACAAACAAGAATAGTCCACACAGAGAATAATTAACAGCATGTCTAATGCATGGAATTCCAGGACGGCCCTCACGTGATGCAGAGCTGTTTGTATGTTAGTAAACTCTACACTTGTTTCGATACTTGTGTATACGCTATACGCACACTTTAAGTGGGGTCTAGTCATCAATAAACAAATCAAATATATTTGCTCACTAGAAGCTCGGCAATTTCACAGTAAAAACCACAAGCACAAAAGCTCTCAGCAAGGACATCAAGGATATTGGCCCTGTTTTCAATGGTGCATGTAGCGGTAACCGAATTGAAGACCAACGCAGACTCATTTAATAAAGAAAAAAAAAAACTTTTTGTTTCTCTCTTCACATCGATCAATAGTAATCAGTAAATATTTTGTGGTATATTCACGCAAATATTAACTCTTAAAATGGGCTGCATTGAAAAAACCGTTTTTTACAGAGGAATATGATGTTTGAGATTAAACTTTACCGGAAACTATTCGATCATGAATACATCTCTTCAATTCAGTTGAAAGGCATGCTGTGTTCCTGTTAATGTGTTAATACATTTAACCAAGCATTAAACTATTATCACTATATAGGGTCATGTTAATCTTATTGCTTAGTCTGATTTCGGTAACGCACAACAAAGAACTTTTGGAATAGAAGTGATAATCAGAAGGCGTTGTGGTTTCCTTGTCGCTTCACACATATCCGCAACTTGAAATCGATTCATCTTTATCAGATATTCTAGACACGTTTTCTGAGCCAAATGGATGCAAAAATGCCAATTTGTTTGTTTTTTCCCCTCTCATGCGATGTCATAGAAAAATGAACGCCACTTCCCTAAACTTGAGTCAGACTTGCGTATTTCCTTAGGAGAGATTTTAAAGATAATAGATGGTAAACTTCATTATTCTCTTCTGCAATGTGTGGACTAACACTAATGTTGTTAGGATAGCCATTTAATTCTTTTTTCTAACTTTCTCTTTCTCACTTGGCTAAATTGATGCTATCCTCTTAACTACGTTAGGATTAAAAATACTAACGATGGCGTTAGCTTTTTTCGATATTTTATGCCATGCAGAAACATCGGCTAGTGACTTCTGTAGGTGTTAATAAGCAATGATAAGGGACAAAAAGAACAAGGCTCTTTAAATCAACACTCCACTCTCTCAGTAATGTAAAACTGCTCTGAATAAGTTCGAGACTAAAGAGGATTACACGAGATTTGTCGTTGGGATGACATGTGCATGTTAGACATTCAAGAACCGCGCCTGTTTTGACTGAGTGCACAAAATAACCACACTCGATTTCTCCTGTCGCATAAAAAGTAAAAAGAACAAAATTTTTGTATGCAAATAAAATTTTGGTCACGTAGTTGACTTGTTTAGTTTTGGTTAGCATTTTTTTCCGTTTCTCAGCCAAGTTTCCTTTCATCATCACTTATCCGGTTGAATCTCTAAATTTCTCTAATACTTGTAGTAAAGTTCTCTAGTATGGATGAATTAAGAAATGATAAATCAGTACTTATGCTCTGTGTCAAAGGTGAAAACAACTGGTCTGAATTACTCATAAGTCTTAGCTATAGTTTCCATTCACCCCAGAGACTTCAACAGTCACAAGCTTTCACAGAAACCTAGAATGTAATAACTCAAAAGGGATATTAAAAACACATTACCGGACTACAATTTCTTCGCCTTCCACTTTTAAACATCCAGGTTGACATCTTGAATTCTGGCATTCAGGAGCTAAATTAAGAAACAGTGCTAGTATGTTTAGTCTCTAAAATTGGCGACCTGCCTGGATACCTGCTATGCACGTATCTTCTGCGATCTCTTTCGATGACTTCGATGTCCTACTGTTTTGCGTTAAATATTGTTGCAAGTGCTAACTAGTGACCTTAGCAACTAAGACAGACATCGGGAAGTTGTGGTTGAATTCCGTTGTTATCTCCCGCTGAATAAGTACAAACGTAGGTCATTGAGCAGGAATTTGAACCTTTTCATAATATTCAGCTTTATGAGAATGCGACAAAAATAAACACTCGAGTTCTGTTTTTGTTTGCATTCATTCGTAGAAGTGGTTATCAACAGTAATTCCGTCCTCTATAATTGGATTCCGTTCGTTTATCTCCCTAGTTTGACGTATTTCATGACGAAGTGGAAATAAGGGGTGGGCTAATCTAGCCTTCTTGACATGAAAATAAACCTGGAATAAAAATGGATGCAGTGTACCGCCATTCGTCAGATTTGTAGTCATGTTTATGAAGCTTTGTTTTTTTCCTGTATTGTTGTATATGGCAAGAAAAATACTTTGTTCAGGCTTGCAACTTCCTTGTTACAAAGCCAAGAAAATAGCATAATTAGAACAAGGGCAGTTCTAGACTTGCAAAGGAAGACTGGAATGTATTTGGGCAGGGAGTTGTAAGACTATAAATAAACAACACCAACGCGATCGTGGAAAAATTCAGACGGTGTACATCCCCCGAAAAATCCCTCGTGCTTTTAAAATGAGATTAAAATAAATTAAAAACCATGGTTACTAAACACTGCAAGTAAACAAATTGTAGGTTGGTTTACTTTCGAGTAAAATTTTCATGCCTAGATCAGTTAACTTTTGGAGCTATATTTGCCAAAGACTGGTCGCTGTAAGAAAACATTCAAGTTCTTCTGCTTCTGAAAAAAAGGGGCAAGTTTCTAAAGATACTGTGGTGCTGCGTTGGTGGGGGTATAAGAATATAATTTGGTTTTATCCACTGAGTTGATAATGTAAATTAGCCTCCGTGAAGAGTTTCGCAATCTAGCGTTCCCAGCGTTAGCCTTTGGTCAAAGCTCTGACGAAGCTCTGACGAAGGGCTAACGCTCGAAACGTCAGCTTTAGAAAGTCTTCTTCACGGTGGCCAATTTAAATTGTCAACCCAGGTCTTCTGCCTCTGTCGTGCCCTTGAAAGCCAGTTTATGCGAAGAACAATAGTACTATATCATAGCTTGATTTAATTTGGTTTTAATACCAATTTGTTTCGATACAAGTCAATTCGATACAACTTCAGTCGTTTCGATACAAACAGGGGAAGGGGTTATTGAATTTTCGGATGTCCGGACGATAAACCAAAATTTTGGTTCAGTAACCTAGAGAAACGCCGAAAAGTGCGCCTTTAATTTCGCTAGTTATGCAAATACTTGCAACGCAAGTTTCGAATTACATTCACGCAACTCGCGTCACACACGTATCACGATTAGTCCGGGAACAATAGTAATAACGGCGTTTTTTGAATAATAAATGTTCTATCTATCTGCAAACAAAAACAATAAAACCAAGCCTACGCCCTTGAATCATAATACCGGAAAATTCAAGGGTGAAAGGACGAGATTGAACCTTTTGACTTAGAAATTGGACCTTTTTTCGGTGGTGGTTATAAACCCACCTTAATATTTCCATGGTGGGATCCCAGTAATGTCTGAGTTTTCTTTCGCTTAGCGCTTCGCTTTCCATCCTCACATAATCTCTTTGGTTAAAGTTCGCCAAAGACTGCATCAGGTAAATCACTGGGAAATGTAATTTATTTTACCATACCTGTTACGTCGATACAAAATAAATTCTGAGCCTTGTGGAATTTACACTTTCTTTTTAGAATTAATAAATACAATGGATTATGCATGCTGCTGTAAATATGTACAAGTACAGAAGAACTTAGCTCAGTTTGAGGGTTTTGCACTATTCCCTTTCTAAACGCTTTTCTTTTTTTAAGGGAGGGGAGGGACGTTCTTCTATCTAAGAATCATTACGGAACAAGGAAAGGCCACGTGGGGGTAGGTGCGAGTATTAATTTTGTTGACCTATGCTGCAACGAAATGGAACGGCCAGAACTTAGTTATCAGTTACGAAATTCATTATTTAACGATGTGGCTCACTATTACATGTACAAGTCGCCTCTTGGGTTTTAATTATCTTTACTTGCCCTCCGTTTGTTGTCGAGGTCACGGGACTCATAAATAAAGAATGTGTGTCTGGTATTCCGTTACGATTGGAAGTGGAACTGTATACTCCACTGTTACTCTTGTATCCCTTCTCTTTTCTATCATCTTTTCTTATAACCGTGGGAAATTTTTCCTCCCTCCCCTCCCCTCCCCCCCAGCTTGCCTTCCCCATCCCCCAAAAAAACTGCTACAATAAGTTTGTGCATGACTAAATACAGACTAAGCCACCGACTTCTTTCGACTCAATACATTGTCAAAAAACAGCCTAATGGAAGGTGATCCGTGTTTCTGTGTATTCACGTATTGCCTGAGGGTACTGTAAAGGACATTTTGAGAGTCATCGAATCCTTCCGACACAGACAACTGGTAGAAACCGCACTCCAGGGCTTGGGCCAACAGACGTCCTTCATATTCGTCTACTTCTCGGAAGTGCTTTAGGTCGCTTTTGTTGCCGACAAGAATAAGGCATGCCGGATTCACGTTTTTGGTTTTCAGGAGGTATTGACAGAGCAGGGAGGCTTCCTCGAACGAGGATCGGTCGATCGTGGAATAGAGGACGAAAAATAAATCTGATCCTGTGTGGACGCAGTTGTCGATCTTTTCTAAAGAGTTCTGCAAGATCATGAACAGAGATTAATTACTATTATAGTTGCATGTCAACCTTCCCTTCCCCCCTCCACAGTCTCCTTTAGTGTCTACGATGGAAGGGGGGTTTAGAATGAAAAATCCATAATTCATGTAAAATGGTCTTGTTTGAATGCGACAATGATCCTCGTTTACGGTTTTAATCAACATTATCCCCCCCCCCCTACCTGGGAGCACAGTGCATTTCAACCCTGACGAAATTCACGAGTGGAGCGAGCGAGGAAGGGGATCAGAACGTACCCCGTGAAGGTAATTTTACATTTTTATCCTGCAAAGTACAGGGTTTTTCATTGAAGATTTATTTTATATTGACGGTGGTCGTACAAACAGTGTACTATACCTTTCCTGCTGTGTCCAAGACGTCCAAAGACAAAAACTGACCGTCTAGCTCTACATGATGACGATATGTAGATTCTGTAAAACATTGGAACAGTACGTCAGAATTCCTTAGATGAAATAGTCGTTTAAGTTCATTTTTTGGTAAATGTTGTATGGCGCCAAAATTCGAGAAAATCAAAATGAACTTTTTCTCCTACAATTTTCAAAATGCTTTCATGATCATTCTCCTGTCCAGATAACTGAGCGCCGTGAAAAGAAAGTTTTATTGGCGAATCAAAGCATTTTCATTATATCTTGGTCAGTTACATCATTTTCTAGAAAATCGTGGGCGACTGCTGGATCTGATGTTAAGTGAAGTCACAATACGATAAGATACCAGTGTTCCCACTACGATAAAACAAACTTCCTCCTATTCCGTGGGAGGGTAAAAGTCCCTCCGTCACTGAAGCGGGCTCAAATATACCATGGATTGAAGCAAATGTTGTGAGCGAGTCAGTTGATAATATGAACGACACTTCATGCATTGAAAAAAAAAAATTGAAACCGAAAATGACATGTTTTGTTCAGATCTGTTGAATTTAACGGAAGTGGTCGTGATAATGATGACCTAAATGACACATCAACCGTCGAGATCCGTCGAGATAAGATTCATAAAACTAATGTGGTTTGCCTCAATCATCTACCTTTATCTCAGTGGCGGAGGAGACGATTCTCGACTTTCAAAGACTTTCGAGTGGAGGGCGAGAGGATTACGAACGGTCCACAAATTGAATTTTGCTTGTAATTTTTTTGCTTTTTTTTCATATTTATTTAGTCAATTATTTATTTATTCATTTTATTCCAAAAGGTCCAAGTGAATTGTAAGATCGTGTATCATGTGTGAATGGCAAATCTGGGCGTATTTTGATGAGCATGTAACCGCGCAAACACCAGTAAATATGGAATTACAAACAAAGTTGTACGCCCTTTTATCGATATTATAAGACCAGCAGCTTCGTTTCATGATGTTCTTCGACCTTTCTATTTGATAAAGTAGCGACCTTTCCAGAGCTATTTTTGTCTTACCATACTTGGCCTAAATTAAGGATAATGAGCTAGTCCGAAGACCCCTTGGTAAGATTCCACAGTTAGCTCAATAGCGCATTTAGTTGAAAAGTGAGTAGACAGCCGCACTGAGATGGCTTTGGTAATTAGCCATTTATCCGTGAAACAATTCACTGATAACAGAAGATTATCTAATTGTACTAGTAGAATCACGGTAAACTTGCCCGCCACGTAGTGACTGATAAGTCAGTTACAGGAACGTAAACTTACCTAATGTTTTGTCGTATTCCCCAATGAAACGTCTAGTTAGAGCTCTTACTGTGAATGCTGGCGGAATGGAAAAATAGATAACCTCTGTCAGTTAAAATCCTTTTCGCCTATATACACATATATATATATAGAACATGCAGAATGTGCGAGATTGTCGGTTGTGGTCAATGGACGTATTCGAGGCAAAGGAGGAAATATTTTTTCCTCTTTTCACAATTCTACTTTCAGAGTGACTTTGAATTTTTCTTCTTGTTGCAGTCAACTGGAAAACGACTTCTTGACTTCAGTTTTCCAGCTCGCACATGGTAACTGCATCATCGGATGGTAGATTATGTTTTAACCAAGTTCGCCTGCCAAAATCTGTGCCTCTTCATTCATAACCATTCTTCGCCATTTTTTTGTCAACGGTTGCCTCTTAAGTATTTTGCTTTCTTGCTAACCAATATCGCGCCGTCGCTTTTAAACTGAATGTAGCTTTTCACAACTCATATGTTTCATGATTCGTGATATGTAACTTCTTAAAACACAGCCTAAATACAGATGAACTCATGCGATAAAATTAACTGATAACTCCTGCGTTTTTTTTATCCATAAATCCTTGTTCGTGACTGTGTTAATTGCTGATACCAGCAGGTACGTGAAATACTAGAAAATGTAGAGGACGGGTGGCTGTTCTTACGCGGCTCATTGTAAGTCACTAAAAGCCGAGATGTTCCGTGATAACAGACACGGCAATTATTATCGATCTGAGCCAAAAGTTATATATATCCGTCAAACCATTAAGTAAGACAACGAATGATTGTAACGTGGTAAACAAAGGCCTAAAAAATAATTATACACGCGAACAAATCTATAGAGTCAAGAGAATGCTGTACTTAGTTCTTTTAGTAGTTTCACAAGCTGATCTTGCCAAGCTTCTTGAAGAGCAATCGCAAAAGCAGATTACAGCTCGTACATATAAAAAGATAAGTTTTATATCTTCGAAAGAGTTTGGGTCAGTTCGTCCTCCTTAAGGTATCTGATACTTTAAACTATCAAGCTGTAGAGCAGATGTTAAAGCGGTCAATGATGAGGAACCAATTTCTATATATAAGTTTATGTCAAACGTGACCTCAGCGACGGCGGTTTTTGATGCATTGCAGCTGGGTATTTCAAGAGAGTTAACACGCACAACGTTGTCATGTCAAGTAGTTTTCTTTCTTTCACAATTTCGCGCAAATAACCAAGGAATCTGCTATCTGTAACGATTGTTCTTCCATTTGAAAGAGCCCTTATCGAAAAACGAAGAGGTCGGGCAAACTGAAAGCAGACCCGAGCGCTCACTTGTTTACTTGTATGTAGCGTAAATTATGAAAATAAACTTTCTCTTCTGACAATGAAAATATCTGCCGAGACCTATTGTTCCTTCGAAAGGTTCTTACTTCTAATTCGGAAGCCGTCTAGTCATGGTTTCCTCAGGCTAAGACCATTAATGCTCGCCTCTCTGCTGGTGAGGCGCCCATGGTTTTGCCAATTTAAAAACAATTGTTTGAAAACTTACCTCAGATCGCCCTTTCTGTGCGCTCGGAGGAAAGTTTTTAATTGACAGTTTTATGCTGGCTTTCTTTTACAACACGAACTGTTACATATACAACGCCGCGTTAAAAATGATACATTTTAAGGATTTTGTTTGGTCGCAAACAGTGTGATATGATCTCTCCAGTTTTGTGAATTCGCCAGTTGCGGTTGAATCAGTGTTTCAAGATTCTACCAAGCTTCCGTTATGTTGATCTTAGCTCATTGTCTGAAATCATCGTGTTTTCAATCATGATTAAAGTGAAACTTGTGGCGATTTTACCGTTAGCTTCAAGTCATCAGTAAACTTCGATGCCGAAAGGTTCTTTGTAAAGTGTAAGAAGAAAATAAATAACTCTTCAGCGCCTTAGTTAAGAACCCTTGACAATTCAGTGAAGGTTTAAGGATCGAATGAATAAATTTACCTGATTTTCCTACGCCGTCCTTTCCAAGAACTGCTATCTGAACATTTTTAACACTGGACGTTGTTCCGTTCTTTCTTCTCTTCACCATCGGACTCTTGAGCGGTGGTCGCTCGTAAGCTGCGGTCGGATGATAGGAACACTTCTCCTACAACAGAAAAGACAGACTCAATCGGTTAAAGAACTTAGTCAACGAATTATAACTAAACCTGGCAAAGTTTACAACATCTTTGGTTGTGGACTAAAGTTTCGATCCCTTTCCCTACCATTGCATTTGCGGCGGGGTTGTTATTCCAGTATTTTCGTGATGTCCTTTCGCAACTTGAATGTGCTTGAATAAATAGCACCCTCACTTATTCACGGGCTGGCTATTACTGGATAAGATAGTTATCTTTTACGTCTTTTGTCTGCCTTCCGGTCAATGCTACTCCTTGGTCACGATTCGCGTGACAAAGCGGATATAGGTAACAAGAGGATCTTGGTTTCTTGCTGTGAACACCTGACAGTGATCGACAATCGAATATAGACTCGGCCGGACACCCCCAGCTGGTTAATGCGAAGTTAATCGCTTGAGGCGCTGTGAAAAGCGTGCTGTTAGCAGATAGTGAGATCAAAAATGTCAATCTGAAAGACGCAAGTTGATTTGACCCACAATGCAGGTTAAAAACATTTTCAGTAGTGCTATTGTTAAGGGAAGAGTGTCAAGAGGGCTCCGTCAACAGTACTTGACCAAACTGAAAAGATTGGCTTTTATTTATGCAATTAAAACGGAATGGAATGCGTCCCTTCTTTCATCTTAGATTCCAATTGGGTAAAAGTCGGAGTACGTTAGATTTTTTTCCATTGTGGTTTCCATTAGAATTTGTTGTGACTACAACAATAATTGAAACTGAGTCAAATCGGTTTTTTTTTATCCGATTTCTGGTTTAATCTGCTAAAGGTTTAGATGCGGTAGAAAAATAGAGAGGATGTGTCAAATTCATTACGGAATGTTAGACAAAGGAGTAAAAAGGAAGCCATGTATCAGAGAAAAGTGATGAATCATCAAGGCCAGGACATTCTTAACCCCTACACAATTGATTACACAACTCAGAAGATACGACAAACGTTTCAGGTCTGATGGGTTAAGTGTTCATTCAGTAAAATTTTGCTTGCGGCGCGTTATTAAAACATGATGTTTTGATTGTTAAAAGGATAAGTAAATACGTAGACCAATGTCTCTCCCTTTTTGTTCCTCTTAAGCCGATTAAGCACCGTAGTTAATGTTTATCCGAACAACGCCAATTTTAAGCTGTTATCAGTTTAAACGAAGACGTAAGGTGAAAATTAAGGGGCTGAGCAAAGCTGGGGGGCAAAACGTTTGTTGCTAAAGATGTAATAGTCATTTTAGGTGAAAGACTCGTTGTAGTCACTTTGGACAAAGCTGTTTAACACGTATTTTCTTAGATGTCCTAACGGAGCTATATGATATTACAAATATCTCCTTCAGTTAAGGTCGGTCAAACAGGATTCAACCTTTACTGATTGATCTTCTCCTTATTTTGTTACGTAGTTTAGCTGGCAGAGTTTCCTGAAGGTCCACTGAATACGTTTTGCTTGATTTTTTTATTTTTTAATTTGCAATCAGCCCTTTCCTCCTGACCAACCAATTCTGTTGATGCCATTTGTAGCTACTCCTTCCCACCTAAGGGAAGAAACATTCCAACCCTCGGTATCCTTTACCTCATGGGGAAAACAATTTTGCTGCCTTTTTGTACCGAGTCCTCTCCTCCTGGTAAGAGAATTTTGCTGCGACTTGTATCCAGTCCTCTCCTCCTGGGAAGAGAATTTTGCTGTGACTTGTATCCAGTCCTCTCCTCCTGGGAAGAGAATTTTGCTGTGACTTGTATCCAGTCCTCTCCTCCTGGTAAGAGAATTTTGCTGTGACTTGTATCCAGTCCTCTCCTCCTGGTAAGAGAATTTTGCTGTGACTTGTATCCAGTCCTCTCCTCCTGGTAAGAGAATTTTGCTGTGACTTGTATCCAGTCCTCTCCTCCTTAGTTAAGTATTTTTGCTCCTCACATACTTTACGGACTCCACCGTGAATGAGACGGTAAGAAAACAAAGAAAAAAGAAAGCTTCATCCTCGCTTTTTTTTCCTGGTGATCAAATTACAAAAGGTTTCAGGATCTGCAAGATTTCTTTCGTCTGAATGTCCAGTATACAAAACCAGGAGCTCGACTCAATACCGTAATGGCTCCTAACAAAACATTATTTTAAATACGAACATGTTCTACTCTCTGCTGAAGTTAGCCTGGGTAAGACCTCGTTAATGGGCTCCTGTCCTGGGCGAAAAATGAAAAAATAAAAACTGCAAGGGGATAACCATTTTCATTTACCCAAGTGCTAAGAACCAGTATTTGAAACGGCACTTGTGAACTCGAGGAGGCTGGATATAGTTTTTCACTTTTCTGATGCAAGATATTTAAACTAAAATTACGAAGCTTAGCTTTAACGAATCGCGATCACATTTTNTATTGACCACTTTCAAAAATGGCTGCCGGATTAATATTCTTTTGTTTAAATTTAAATTAGCCTTTCTGGCCTCGTTCTCCAGTACAAAATTCAAAAGAATACATTATCTCAAGCGAGGCCAGAAAGGCTAATTTAAATTTAAACAAAAGAATATTAATCCGGCAGCCATTTTTGAAAGTGGTCAATGGTGAGCAAGGGTAAATTTGTGGGCCTCGACTGGAACCGGTAAAAGTCCCGGGTAAATTAGAACCCAGTCTGCGCGCGCCAAAGAATAGAAGGCAGCATGGTCGAGTGGTCAGCGTGTCGGACTTGCAATCCGCCGCTCCTAGGTTCAAGTCCCGCCCTGGCCACTACTTGGATTTGTTTCACGGTAGCCCCGAGTTTCAAATCCTCGGCCATGCTTGTAATATACCCAACTTGTTTGCCTTCGGCCAGTTGGGATTCTTAACTATGTTATTTTCAATTTGAATTATTTGTTTAAGTTGTCTCGTGGAAAACCTGTAAACCAGCTTCTAGCTAAGTGTTTCTCCACGTTAAACTGTTTATTATTTTTATTATTATTATTATTATTATTATTATTGTTATCATTATAAGAAACTATATCCAGCCTCCTTAAACTTTTAAGAGTGCCTTTATGGGGACAGTTACGTGAAGTTACATGACAAAAAATAGATTCAGCGTGTTACCGCTGTCAAGGAAGTGTCACAGGCACTTAGCTACTAAAGTTGAAACGACATTTGAAATTCCCGTTGAAACTCGTGAACGAAAAACCGTCGTTGTTGGTGGTAACTTCCGCTCGCAACATGTCGTTTTGCTCGTGGGACGCAAGCGAGAAATATAGAAACCACTTTGAAGCCGGTAAGAATTTTTAAACTATCCTCTATCGTAAACCGTAAGATTTTCCTTTCTTCACTGGACATCACATAAATGTTTATTCGCCTGATTTACATGCCTATAGTCGAAATTTTTCCACAAATCCAAGATTATTGAAATTCAAGTTACGATTAAAATAAATGAACGATCTCGACAAGAGAGTTCAAATTTCTGCATTTAGTAATACATTCAAAGAGTAGGAAATTATTTTCTTAAGTCGAGAAAGTCGAAGGAATGAATTTGCCTTTTTTTTGCATGAGCCCTCCCTTCTCAGTTGATCAGAGACGCGACTAAATCTGGTCCAGTGTCTTGTATAGCCGATGCAGAGCTATGCTGGCAATTTCAAAGCGGTTGAAAACGTTTTACTTTTATTGATACACCCAAAAACTGAGCCCTTAGCCAGAGTTTGTGGTCAAAAGATGAAATAATTCGGCTGATATTGCCGCCACTATAATGCTGAGTCATGTCGTGTCATGTACACCTATACATTTGGGCCTTGAAGATAGAGCTGAATAACGTATGCTCATGCGCTACGTTTGTAGCGAGACCGGAATTTTGGGTGGTTTGCATAGTTGAATTGCTATTCTGTTGCTTAGAGACATTGTTTTCTTTGCCGTTTTTCCTTTATAGAATAACGTTCATAAACTTTTGTACTCCCCCTAAATTTTTTTTCGAAAATTATTTTCACCTTAAAAACTTTGAAAATGGGAAAATGCATTCAGTTACAACAAATAACCTTGGTCTTATGTGCCAAACCCTCACTATTCTCGCAAATTTCACTAAATTTCAAACCTTGCATGTTTGAGCCTGCATTGTTGACCTTGTACCTCTGGCACAGCATTTTGCTATTCAGCTCTGTTGGCCTTGAAAAGACAAGTCATCTTAGAGAAGAGGGAAGGAAACGGGAAGGAGGGAGTGGGACCGGTGGAGAGTGCTCCTTATCTGTATGACTTAAGACTGAACTAAAACTATCCTGAATTATTTTTTATTTATTCATTTAAGTGCTACTGCGACAAAATTTTTGCATTTTATTTTTCCAATTTTCTCGTGTTAACTTCACATTTAGACCCTAAACTATAAGAATAAGCGTAAGTTTCTTAAATTTGACATCGTTATTCCTTAAAAACAGCACCGCGAAGACATTAAAAATTCTTCTGCCATATTTGCTTGAATAACACACTGGAGAGCCCAACAAAATGACTACAGCGGTTTTAGTTGTGACATCATTGACTCACGTCGACAACATCGCGAAGGCATGCCTTTACAAGAAATACACAAAAGAAAGCTGGGGAACAATTCTTTCGAATTTTATTTTTTCTTTCCTGCAGAACCAGAAAAATAACTCTCTCCGGTCATACCAAATTAGCCACGTTTGTTGAGTCATTGACCTCACTTCTGTTCTCGACCCAGTTTCTTCTTCAAACGGAGTTCTGTAGTTCGAAGAATGGTGGCTGTTTAGATCACGGATCTACAGGGAAAATGATATTACCTCTCGATGGAGTTTTGCCTTAAGATTTGGCAAATTTGTTACTTAGGGTAAGTACTTTCAACCTCTGAGGAGAAAAGAAAAGGTGCATTTTTGGTCGCAGTAGCACTTTAATTAAAAAATATGAAAATTTGGAATAGTAGGACTCTTAATGGAGCCTCTTGTTACGTTGTTAAGTGCTTCTTTTAGTGCATGTACTTTTCAGTGGGTAAATTGTCAAAATAGTACTGTGATACCATATTTTATAAATAGCGAGTATTCGAGTATTATTGGTAAAAAGAAGTTGTTAGGACAAAATGGAAACTTCTTTTTCTTGAATTGGCTGTCAGTTTCCTTTCAGTCTGATGTAGGACTCTGATCACCAATGGGTGGGATGTGAAATTGCAACCTCAGGATGTCTGACTCCTTTTATTCCAAAGATCTCAAAATCAGTTCTCATTTTCTTCAATACATTTCTGTCAATTTTTGCTCTGAGTATTGAATACTGAATAAAACAGTATCCCTCTGTTGATTTCTTGTTTGCTCTCATCACCTTTTCCTGTTCATGTTGTTATGATGTTGGAGGGATGGAGAAATGACTTTTTGGTCACTCTTGGTAGGGAAAGAGTTGAATGGTGATAATTATTGTCTTCTTCTTGTGAGGGTGTGATAGCCATGAGGTTGGAGTTTATTATATGAATGCAAAACTCTTTTGAAAAATTTTAAGGTATAGATTTTATTTCTCTGGTTGCATTTTGTTGCTCTTTGCAGGAATCTATGTTTGTCCCAAGTGTGGTCACAAGCTCTTCAGTGCTAAGGCAAAATACAAGCACAACACACCTTGGCCAGCATTTACGGAGACAATCAGCGTAGACAGTGTGTCAAAGAGGGATGAAACTGAAACTATGACAAGCAGTAGTGCCAAAGCTCTTAAGGTAGGGATGGGGCACTGGCCTCCCACCATTGTGGCCCAGGTTTGATTTCTGGACCTGGCATCACATGTGGGTCGAGTTTGTTGTTGGTTTTCATCCTTGCTCCAAGGGTTTTTCTCCTGGTCCTCCAGTTTTTCCCCCCTCCACAAAAACCAACAGTCCAAATTCCAATTCGATTTGGAGGCGAGTGTTTTTAACATAAGCTACCAGCTTGGAATATTGGGCAACCACATCCTACATTATTGACTTTAAATAAACTATTATTATGAATTATTATTATTATTATTATTATTATCATCATCATCATCATCATCATCATCATCATCATCACCATCATCATCATCATCATCATTATTATTATTATTATTATTATTATTATTAAATGATGACATCATCTTTGCACCTTTCCTCCAAAAGATCATGAGTAAGAAGCAATCAAAACATGTGTACGGCAAAGTTTAAAGCAGAGTTTATTGCACTTTTGTTTGACATCACATTAAGCTGTGACAATCTTCTACATCTAGCTACCCTTCAAGGAAGGGTTTTTATCTAAATTATTTATTAACTATTTATTCTATTAACTATTTATTCTGACACTTTTTCTCTAATTTCTTTAATTTTATTTCACTCCGCACCTCCTTACTTTTTATTTTCAACATAATATCAGCTGGCTTCTTTACAATTGCAATCAACATCTATTAGCTCTGTGTAAGGAACTCATGTCTCATGTTTTATTTTATTAACTTGCATTCAGGTTAGCTGTGGTAAATGTGGCAATGGTCTAGGACATGAATTCTTAAAAGATGGTCCTGATGGAGTTTCTTCAAGGTTCTGAATCTTTTCAGACTCATTGCAGTTTGTCCCCAAAAAGGATGAACAAGTCAGTGAGCCATCATCTAGTCATATGAATGGAAAAAACTAAATGGCAAAGCTACATGTTTGAAGTTCAACAGGACCTAGGTCATCAAAAACATTTTAAAGGTGATAAAGTTGGTTGTAATGATAATGATAATAACAACACATAACACATAATACAAATAATGTATACAAATTGATAAACCAGTGGCCCTGGAACGTGATGGCAACAGAATTTTTTCTTTACATCCTTGGGGGCTGCATACTTTGAACTCACAAATGCTTGAACTGTACATGGACTTAAGTTATTTAACAGTTATTTGCCAAAAGCAAAGCGAATATTGTAAAGTAATTAATCCCTGACACTGAACAACACAATTGTCTTTCCTGCAAGTAGTCAGGTGACTAGAACAAGGAGACATGGGTATAATCATACATTATTTGGATTACATATTAAGCATTTTCATGTATGCAATTGAGACCATTCCTAATTAATGGGATTTTCTCAGTGAAAACTGTAAATTTCATGCCTATAGTGTAGTTAAATTGAAGCTGCACTGTATTTATTTTGTTATTAATGATTTCAATGAGTGCATTGTACATTGGGTTTTTGTTTGAACTGAATGAAATGTTTAGATGAAAGCCCTTCCTTGAAGGCTATCTAGATGTGGAAGATTGTCACAGCTAAACGTGATGTTAAACAAAACTGCAATAAACACTGGTTAAACTCTGGTACACAGGTATTGATTGGTTCTTACTTGTAATCTATTGGGAGTGAGGTGCAAAGATGATGTCACCATTCAGTAAATCATTTTACCTTTTTATTATCAAATCAAATATATGCCATGTTGCTGTGCATAGGGATGTAGCTAGAACACTTAACTTTCAGAGCTGTAGATTCTGTGTTTTGATCCTTGGTGGTAAAGGTTCAAACCATACTTGTAAATGTAATTGTTTATTTTTTGTTGATTGTTTTTGTCTACCTGTATGCATTATTTAGTATTCAGAAAAAAAAATTAGTTCAACAAACTTATGGATCGATCTAAACTATAATGAGACCAATCATACTTTTTTCTCTGTCCTCAAACTTTTACTTTGTTATCTCCCAGACTATGAATTATATTCTGCAATTCCATCCCAGCCAGGGACTTAACAGGTCTTGTCCCTGCCTCTGGAAATTCATATGATATTACAAATTTATTAAATCTACCTCGACCCTAAATGTTACATTATGAAGCTAGAGATATTGATTTTTTCATAATATTGCAATTTCAAAGAGTCGGCTGGTGTCATTGGTTCCTTTGCAGTCCTTTTTTTTTCCAGGCAATTTTGTTCTTTTCTATATGTTGGTGTTCAGTGTAAATATGTATTTGCCCATTCAAACTCTGTCTTATCGTCAATAGTATTTCAACGTACTGAACGCTTGACCATTGTTTAAGTTTGATTTTCGTATCATAGCCAGTTTTCATTATTTTGAACTTCGTATTTTAATATTTACCATTATTTTAATTACTGCAGTTACATTTCTGAGGCTCAGAACTCGAAGTTCCATTCTATTATCAAGAAATAGAAATAATTAAAATCTCGCCATTTTGGTTACAAGATAACTCATGACACAAATTGTCTGGTCTGCCAGAAAAATTAATAAATTAGTTCATAAGTAATTACACAGCTGCTTTCATTTTGGCATCAGCTTAAGAAAAATCTTGTTTTTTTTTATGCAAATAACTTGCAGCTTGTGAATAGTTGGGCGAAGCTTTTAAGAGGAACCCTTGAAAAACTCATCTCGACAAACTACAGACCTTGATTCGTCTGGAATGAAAGGTACTAAACGAGGTGTCATTGCAATGGCCTTGGTTTAACGATTTTATTCCCATTATTATAAATTGGCTTCCTTCAGTGAAAGTTGTAATTAACGGCTTTAAGTTATGACTAAACTGTCGCAGTTGTAATGAAATGAAAGAAAACCGGTTCCCAAATGGTAAGCGTTCCCGAGTTTTGATTTAAAAAAAAACTATCAAAATTTCTTCGTTTAAACTGGTCTATAACTGCTGCTAATCTTAAGTATTCAGCAAAACCTGGAGAACTCAGAGTATTATTAAGAAGAACAAGAAGGCAGCTGTGTTAGATTAATTAATTAACACTAAGAAGCTTTGCTGTGCATTAAACTGATGTCAGATCTTGTTGGTCAGTCCGGCTGAAGAGATCACGATTTCCAGTCAACCCTCTTTACCGTGGATGAAGTAGTGTTCAAGGTAAACTATAAGGGTGCTTTTCAAATATTTTGAGGTGTTGGGTATAACACATGAGTATGATTTGTCTCAATTTCTAAACGCAATGTGTAATAGGATGTGTTCTGGGCGAAGCCTAACAAAAAGAAATACAAATTAAGATCTTTTAAACCGATTGATATTTCCTTTGTTGAAGATAGAAATTCTGCTTTAGAAATGATCCCCAGATGGAAATTTGTGTTAGCTTTCACAAATTAGCCCACAATATTCGAGATAATGGTAGGAACGTGTGCTCCGTTCTTCGCTGCCCTGACATCGCTTATTTGTGCGAAAAAAACACGAAAATTACATGCATACATACAAACTTACTTTATTGCAACTCCCTTAAAAGGTTTTTTAGTTACAAGGCTACGTAGCTATCACACTAAAATAACTAAGTAAACAACCAAATAACAAAGGTAATAAACACAGGATAGAAAATTAGTGAAATACTTCAAGAAGGAGAAAACAATACATTGGACTGGTGTACTATTTACAAATTCATATATTAATCAAAAAAAAGGAGGTTGACAATTCCTTTTCTAAAAAACCTTTGACAGAGTCTGAAGATTTAACATCGTCACGTAGATTATTCCAGAGCCTAGCACCACTGTGTAGTTGAAAGACCGCTGTCCGGTGGTTCGACGGCACCTCGGAAATTAAAGTGAGTAATATCTCAAGTGCCAGTTTAACCCTTTGCACCATGACCTCGGCATCCGTATTCGCCATACTGTTCTCTATACATCTTTTTTGGTACCGACGAGGAGAACTTGCTTAACAATTAAAAAACATCTCAAGTTGGTGACCATTTCCTTGACTGTCATGGTCTAAATGAGTGGTTCAGCAATATGGCTGCAAAGAGAAATTAAGTGCTGGTCACTATTAAGGTTTCAAGTGTTTATGTCCCATACACTTATGCGTAAAGATTGTACCATCCCGTCCTTGCAACGGATGCAGTCGTGCTATTACTGTACTTCGTGGTCTCTTAAGTTTACGTTAAGCGAAGTTGTTTCAGTATTTATGCACTGTTTCACAGATGTCTAAAGTTTTCTTCTTTGAAATTAAATTGACAAATTCTGATTATATCGCGAATAATACTACGATACTTAAGGAGACGAAAATTGTTCCTTATAAAAGGAATATCTTCATTTGGGTATAAGCTAAATTTGTTCGGCGCTGCGTCTGTTTTAATGGGCTCTTAGGGCCAATCTTCGTTTTGAAAGACTATAAGAGCCGCAGCTAATTTAAGGAAGCCGCCTTCAGCGAGGTAGATTAGTTTTTCATTTCAATTCTGACATCCTTAAAGACTAATTAAAGCCTCTATTCAAACGCGCGTTGTAATAATAACGCCTATTTCCATGCAAAGATTGCGACTAGCACTACTTCGGGGAGAACAAACGGAAATTTAATACCACAAGTGCTCTAACAAAAATTACAAGAAATCCACACTCGCCGATCATTGTTTACAATCTGGCCACGTTATCTCATGGGAATCGTGTATATTATTACGTATACTTACCAGCACAAGATGGCGAAACCGACGCCTCTTAGAGGCTTGGGAAATTGACATGTGTAAAAGTCCAGTTAAACGCGATGATGGCATGCACCTGCCCAACGAGTTCAGAGTTTTGACTCTATTGGATAAGAACTAATTTCCTTATACATTCGGTTTTTCATTAGCAACTAAAATAAACTTGTCACTTCATTTTTTTTTATTACCCTCGAAGAAGGCATATTTTAAAGGTTTTTTTTTTTTTTTTTTTTGAGATTGTTAATAGCTTTTCTTAACCAGCGTTAAACTTTATTTTTATCAAACCTCTGTCCGTTTTTCAGTTCATGTTAATAGAAGAGTAAGTACTTAAAGTGGCACTCCAACTACACCAGCGTGCAAATAAATAGACTATACCTCTAAAAATACGATTTGATCTCCTGAAGATCAAGTTGCAGCCTGTATAAACTTCAATGACATGTACAAACAATAACACCATGGTCCCTAAAATGAACAATTCACAATGAATTTTTAGCGAGGAAAAGCTACTTAACGTGTCAGCATTTTCAGACATTTAAGTGAGAAGACACCAGCTGGTTACACTTTTTGACGTATATTGAACTTACTTCCAATAAGTCTATTCTACTCTGCCGTTTTAGCCGGATTCAGAATCCGTTTCAATGAGAAAGGCTCTTAAAAGCGAAAACGTTTTCATTTTGAACGCTTTTGGCTATACATCAGTGTCTGGCAAGCTCTAGAATTGCCGAACAGACTGGCTGGCGTCCAGTTTGGCCGAGTCCTGCTTGAGGTATCACAAAAGCGCTAACACTAGGTAAGTTAATTTATCGGTCATTGGTTTCAAATTTTTTTCTTGGTTTGAAAATAAGATATCAAACAAGAAGATTCTACTTATACATGCATTGTTCACTGGAGCCCTTGGCGTTGCAAATTGCAAGCAAAAACACAAACATGTGTTTTCTTCGCCTACAATAGGCACTTAAGATTTTATACAGAAACGCCTTTGCGCCTCTGAGAGATCAAAGATCGTAGTTTCAACCATATCAGAAGCCCCTTTTACTTTTTTAACAAAACATTATCGAAGACTGGAAGGAAATTTAGAATCAGGCTTTTCTGAAAAAAAAAAAAAATTAAAAGAAAACGGAAAAGAAAATTTTTATTTAACATTATTCCTTAAGAAATAAAAGTCTCGTCTTCCGGTTCCTTTGTGCGTTTTGGTTGTGAATAATCCCAAAAAACACGACGCATTTTCTTTAAGACTTCTTATCCTCTGGAGTGATAGATTATATTTACTTTTCCAAAAACCAATACATTATACTTTCTTTATCATTTTCTGCACATAATTCATGGAGCAAACTAGGAGCAAATAAAGATTTGGTCTTCGTATACATGTAATACTGAAGTGAAAAAAAATGAGATTTGCAGTAACAGTGTCCATTTTCCCTAAAAGAAAATCTTGCTTAGTTATGCCCTAGGTTCATTCCTCTTACAAGGTGTACTGAAAGAAACGAAAGCGTCATTTTGACCGAACTGCGACTGATTTCTATGCAGCCATTTTGCACCTCTTCTTTGTGTTTATATCGGAAGCCCTTTTACTTTTCTAAACAAAGATTACCAACACTGAAAGAAAATTTAAAATCAGGCCCTTTCAAGATTAAAAAAAGGTAGAGAGAGGGAGAGAAAACTCTATCCTTCAAGAGTCATTTGAGTCAATGCTTTTCATCTACAAAGATTTCAAATAAAACTTTTGTCTCTAGGTTCTGATTGTGAAAGTCCAAAAAGCTCGTTATTACATAGATTGTAATTTTTGTTTACATAAAGCGTCACATCTTCCGGAATGATAAGTAATATTTATATTTTCTCAAAACCATTCCGCTTACTTTCTCATTTTCTTTAATAAAGAAGATATGAGCACATAAAAATGTATCTCCGTATAGTTTCTTGATGAAATTTTCTCCAACGCTTTGTCCAGTTTTACTGAAAGGAAAACTACCTGGTTTTGGACTAGGGCCTTACTTCTTATGAGGTGTACTTTAGGAAACGAAATCGTAATCGTTACTTAGCTGCGACTGACTTTCATGCACCCGGCATGTAATTTTTCCTTCCCCCCCCCTCCCTGAAATGCACACAGTTTCTTCTTCTTAATTTTACTTTAGCAAACAAAAATTGAAATAATAGTACAAAGAAAGCTCTGTGAATTGATGATGATGTCAAAGTAATCAAAGAAAAGTGCACGCGAAAGAAGTGAAAGTCTTATTAAAATTACAGTTGCTGCCGTTAAACCTTCTTAAAGCAAATAATTGCTCTCGTAATATCTACTTTTCGTGTTCAAATGATTCTGACGGGTGTGCGGGGCATGATTTAACTCCGCCGGCCGCATGAAAATCTGTTTATGCGTTTAAAATTGTGTGGGTGAGATCAATATTGACATGATGGCTTCCGCTTAGCCACTTCAAACACACTTTTAATTTTCTTTCTAGGGATAAACAGGCATCTTAATCCAGCTTAAATCCAAAGCTGGCCGGCCTCCTGTAGTGAAAGAGAACAGATCGGCTGCTATAAGTAAAAGTAGTGCAGTTGAAATAGAATAAATCAAGTTCTCAAACGACGTCTTTCGGGAGCTCATTTCGATTCAATGAGTTTGTCGTGAATTAGTTTAATCTTAGTATTCTTGAATCAAGAAATCATAAAAAAAGTACCCCTACGTAACTGGTCTACAGGTTTGTTGGTAATCTTAGTTATTTAACGAAACTCTCTTGTAAAGAAAAAAAGATTAATTGATTCAAATTGGAAAAAAAAAAAAAAAAAACAGTAGTGCACGCGAACGAAATTAAATACTATAGAACCGGAAATTATTTCTGAATACAGACGAGAAGTTGATTACAAAATAGTAAATATGTTTTCGAGAAGAAGGATGAAAAAAAAATTCATTTTGATTTACCAGCATTTGATTGGCACAGTTTTCTCCTCGTATAAAGGTCACCAGCTGTTACAGGCCGCTTAACATTTATTCGTGAGGAAGAGCAACCGAGGGACCATCTTACCCGAAGGCGTCAAAAAGGTACAGTTTCCTTTCCCCTTAAACAACAACAACAACAAAAACGTGAGTCGATTTCACGGCATTTGGCTAGGTAATTATGAACTGCGAAATCTGCTCTCTTATGCTGTACAGCCTAAGAAAATTTTAACCTCGGCTATTCAGCAAAAAGGTATTCGCAAAATTCTACCATGTAAAATGTTACATGTCCAGTGAGGGTGAAGAAATCGATACATGAAGGTTCAACCGAGTTGAGTATATACAGAAGTCATAGTCATTGCAAAAAGTTTGATCCATGGACTACGCGTGCGAACAGCACTGAAGACGCAGAGTTGTTTTAAATTGCTGCATGTCTATGCCTAGGCAGCTTAAAAACTAAATACATATACGGCTTTCCTTATCAATTTTATATTGGCTCCCCTCGCGCTGGGTTAAGTTCCCTCCTCCCCTTTAAAAAAATGAGGAAAAAAAAGGGAAAATTCTGGAATTATTTTGGGCAGTACTCCAGCAACGCCTATTGCGCAAGAGACTGCCAACGATTACCTTGTTTTGAGAAAATTGCAACGATGACAAGTGCAAAATCAAATATTGCTTTCCTTGGTTTCTTCCGTCATAATTAGGACAAGTACTTTAAATAGCTGACATAATGTAGTCTCCATAGCGACTCAGCTAAATTGACAGTGGATCCAGAGCTTGGCTTGTTATTGACAACGAAAAAATTGAAGTCTATGAAGTCAGTTTTTAAACCAAAAATTCGGAAACAGAATCAAACAGGTTCCACTATTAAGAAGTGCAAATATTTTTCGCAATATTCCTCTTACGATAGTTTTTGGCTCCTGTGTGATTTAGGCTTTTAAGGATTAAAGAGTCTTTTCGTCTCTCGAATTCGTCTTATAAAAGTATTTATTTGAATGACTGATTCAACGACGCGAAGTAACAGAGCTAGAGGCTCCGCTACGTTTAAAATTCCAGTCATCTAAACTCGTCTCACGTTCACGCGATAATTATCGTGAGATGCGATCAGCAAAAAGTTTAAAATTCATTTTACAAGAAAATAGACTTTGTCAATCGAGCGTTGGGTAGAAAATTTTGGAAATCCTCAATCAAAGTTTTAACTTATTAAAAAAATTTTGCGCTTTTTAACATTGAAGAGCTAGAATGCAGAAATTATTATCCACAAGGCTAGCAATGCTCATGAAACGTTTTGTTTTTGTCAAAAATATGATTATGTCAGTCTATATCCCATAAAGCTCAGTTGTCGGGGAGTTCTGTTTGATGGAAATTAAAGTCGAATTTGAGCGGAAGTTCATGAAAAGAACAAAAAAGGGGTAAATTATGGCCATATTAAAAATTAATATATTTCTTTTCGAACCTTAACAACTAGAGAAAGAACCTAATGGCTTCAAAATGATCCTTAATTTCTGAAGTTGTACACAATTTTACACATTATTAGTTACTATAAAACAAAGTTATATGATCAGCGTAAAGCAATTACGGTTACTGATGGCTCTTTATGAGTAACTTCCTTCCTCTCAGCGCAGCGTAAGTGGGCCACAAACTAACTCTACAACCATTAAATCATTTTATGGACACATTTTGTCAGTTCTACCTTCGTACCACGTAGAACTACGGACACATACCGTCTAATGACATCAGCAAAATGTAATGGTCACGCTCTTTTAGTATTCATTATTTGTCGTTTGATAAAACGTCAATCATATCATTCTGGGCACGTTTGTTTTCACGAGGCCTTTGCATGTCTCCGTGGTTCCGTGACCTTGTAACAGCCAACTCTTGAACCATATCAATGGTTGCAATTAGTATCTACCATCATGCACGTGAAAAGTTCATTTCGCGCGCGCTAAATGGCTAGTTCGGAAGAGAAAAACAAGTACAATTCACCTCTGCAGCCCATGAGACAAACTCGTGAGATTAATTTCCGCCAGTTTTTTGGTAGATTGACAGAAATTATCAATTAATTTTGGGTTTCTGCGTGGCATATACTAAAATAATGATTCACCCCAGTGGTGGATAATTGTTCATTAGCATGTCGCCGACCAAATCGCAAACCTCTCGTGTTACTTTTTCATTACATTTATTTATCAGTATATTTGGAAGGGCAAATACTATCTCGGAAGATTTTAAAAGTTATTTTCTCTTGAATGCAAGGCACGTTTTATTCTAGAACATTTATACTGCGCACTTACTAGATTCTTAACAGAGAGTTTAAAATGTGTTGTTAATTGAAAAAGCAAGTAGTTAATTCATGTACAAACTGCATTAGTTGTTTCTTTGTTTTGTTTTGTCTTGTTTTGTCCACCTTTTTTACTTTCTCTGTATCATTCTGCATGCCTTAAATGTTTTGGCTTTTTTTTCAGATCTCCTTTATACATTTCCAACTATTTACTTTTCGTAAAACATTGCTATTCTCTTACAAGTCAAAATGATAATAGTTTTTTTTTAATAAATGGTGCTGTCAGATAATCAAATACAAATGGGATAAAATCATCTTTCAGTGACGAATTTTTACAATGGCAATTATTTCATGAACTAAAATAAATAAAGGCAGATCTCTTATCGGTTTAATTTTTCGAACACTGTCCTATCATCTAGCGCGGAAATCGACCAATGAAAGGTTTTGAAAGGCAGCTGAACATTCATAATATTTGTGACTTTCTGCGACACATTCTGGAGTTAAAAGCATTCAATAACGTCGGCCGCTCTTCTTCTTGAAGGTTTCTCAAGTCACGAAGTAGACGGTTTGCTGAAAGGAAACTTTAAGCATCAAAATGAATATTTCTGTCTCAAATGGTAAGTTTTTACTGCAATTTTACTGTTATTGCATGTCTTATTCAAATTGTCCCCGATAAAGCTAGCACTGGGAAAATATACTAAGTCTTGGTGGTTTGACAAATTCCGAGCTGAGGAAGCTCTGTGCATGTAGACAGGCGTAACTTATTTATATTAAATTGACACTGTATTAGATAGTAAAACTTTGGCTTTTGTCCATTTTGAAACAACAGTTGCTTTGTCAGATTTCCTTAGACAAGCTGAATTGTGAGGAAGGCAGTAAAATACAGGCAACAAAGTAAAAGTTAAGATCTTTTTAGCGTAGAGGAACCTTTCAAAGGAAATTTTCTAAATGCTTTCTGCGCTATTTGTTTCTCAGCAGTGCGCGGGAAATGAATATTTGTAACTTTTGTTTCTAATTCTGGATAAATAATCGAGTCGAGGACTTCCTAAAGTCGAAAAAGGATGCAACAGCACTCAGCTTTCCCTAAAATTTCAAGGTATTCTAAAACTCTTTTCAGCAGTTCCGTCCAAAAAGTAAAAGTCCTCTGCAAATCTTAGGTCTTGTGCGTGATCAAACACTTCCGATTCAAAAAAGGTATTTTTTTAAGGTACATTTGATCGCCCGTGTAAACCAATATTTTTAGGCAAAAAGGCACAGAGTCGCCCCCAACTTGTCAGATTTATCCATTCGCACACATTTTCATTGAGTTCGGTGGTCTTATCAATTCTCAACTACCGTAGAAGACATGACATCATTGCAAATCAGTATCAAAATCTATTCCCCATGGAATAATAAGTGAGAGATTAAACCCCTACGCAGTTTTACTGAAGGCAACGGAAACGAAACCTGCGCCTCTCAGAGTCGGTTAGTGGGAGATCATAAGCTGATGACCCTGTATTAATTACAAATGTAAAGAAAATGAAGAAAAATAAATCAGTTTTTCATTGAAAGAAAACGAAGCAGTGATGAAGGAAAATAAAATAACGCCCTCGCGGATTTCACTGATTACAAGGGACATGGATATTTCTGTCAAATTGATATGGATATTTATATGGATATTTCTGTCAAATTTTTACGGATAAAGATTAAGTGCTACGGCTCAGAATATTATCGACCCGCTCAAATAAGAGTTAAAATGGCAACATGGAGTTTAACAAAAAGACGCAAGCGTTTCTATTTGGTATTGGTTGAAAACTATTATCAGTTATCCCATACGAAATACAATAATCCTCTCTGCTGAGTAAATTGGCTTCAAGATGGTTTAAAAAGGTGAAACGTGCAATCCTTGGATGAAAACGCATGACATAGCACTTCTTCTTAAGATTTCAGTTTTTAACTTCAAGCAACCGGAACACAATTGACCTGCAAGTTATAGACCTAATTGAAATGGTGTTAGGGAGCACACTAGCGCATGCGTTATTAACTAAAAAGGACTAGTAAGAATAAATTGTAGCGTCCGAGAGAAAACGATTTTGAGGTACTATATACGAGCAGTGCAGGGAATAAATACGTATGCCCTTTAGATATCAAATGTTCCTTTTCACCTCGGGCTCTTTTGAAATATCTTGGCGGGGGCATATAGAATGCTGTAAAGTTAGTGCAGTAATTTTTTATCATGAGTTTTTAACTTTTATTTTTAGAAAGCTTTTAATAGTAGAAAATCATGATTACCGTGACTTCAACTTTTGAGATGTCCTTCATATTCTTAGAGAGCAGGCGGTTTTTTCTCAGCAATTTGTCTTTGCATTTGCAAACAATCGAACAATCGTAGAGGAGTGATTTATGGAGGAACATATTTGTCAATACCCAGTGGTGCATTAAGTTTAATTTTTTTACCATATTTACTCTTCTGATCAGATTATGTTAAAGAAATTGCTAAAATTATCTTTTCTTTCAACATGTGGCCCGTAGCTCATTTGACAGTAGGACGGAACTAGATGGATAAATAGAGAGATATATAGATAAATAATTTTTTTTTTTAACTGAATCAGGATAGCTCATTCATCTGCGAGGCCGGTGTCGAGAGGATCCCTAATGTTTAAACTAACAAAATTGTCTCAAATATTAAAAATTTCATATAAAAACGACAAATATATTCCTAAAGTTTATTGCAATTGAAAAAATTGCATGCAGTCCTATAGGAAAAAAATCTTAAAAAATGGAGGTTTTAAAAACTTGCAATTTTTAATTCAATTCTTAAAAAATCTGCAAGGACTCGGCTTGCACGAATTCGCTAAGTGACTCTGTTATTAACCTTGAATCATTATATCAATTTCCAGATTCATTTAATGACACTCAGGTTTGGCGGAATCATATTCCAGGACAACCAACATATGCACACAAAGTTATAATGACCGTTGTCTACAGTACGATGTTCTTGTTGTCTTTAACCGGAAACTCCATGACGATCTACATTGTGTGGAGTAAACCTTACTTGCGATCCGTTACTAACTGCCTGATTGCTAACATGGCCGCAGCAGATCTCGTTACAACATTCAGCGCCATGCCCTATGCAGTCACCTACGCCTTCATACAGACTCAATGGTTCGGAGGCATCTTGGGAACGGTCACGTGCAAATTGTTGATGTTTTTGTTTCCATTGTCCATTGCAGCTTCCATAATCTCTTTGGTGATAATTGGGTTGGACCGTTTTTTCGCTGTAGTTTACCCGTTCAATCGTCCCAAGGTAATCCGCAAGATTTCTGTGATGAGTGCGATCGTCTGGGCTTTGTCCATCCTATTCACATCACCCTATTTGTATGCTTACAAAATGCTATTAGGACGGGACAATAATTATCATTGCGTTCAGCTATGGGAATCGCCTATCACTGATCCAAAAAATGCGTCCCGAACCTATTTTGTTTTCATTCTCGTTTCTCTTTACTTGGTTCCGCTGCTACTTATCGCCATCTTTTACAGCATTGTTTCTTTGAAGCTCTGGGCACGCAGAATCCCAGGGAATCCAACAGCTGCAAACATCAGGCACGCGGAAGCGAGCAAGAAAAGAACTATTAAAATGCTCGTCATCATTGTTATCGTTTTTACCCTCTGCTGGCTTCCTGCGCATATCATTCACTTGTTGGCAAAATTCAATGAACGAATGTACTCTGCGATATCACCTATAATAGTTCTGATAGCGATTGGCATATCACACCTGAATTCCACTATAAATCCCTATCTCTACGTAGCCCTGAACAAAAACTTCCGACGCGCCTATTTAGATATTCTTCACAGCTGGTTCAAACCCGCAGGAAGCTTAGTGCGTCCGTGGGGAAGCAACACCACCTCGAGCGCGTATCTGGCCGAGGGCATGTCTATGGAGTACGTGAGTGTTGGAGATCTGGGGAGAAGAGAAAAATACGACTTGTCTAAAAGCGAGAGAAATCGGGACTCGTCGTTACGTGTCAGACAAGTAAGCCTTATGAAAGTAAGGGAAAACTAGTGAAACAAGAGCACTGCGGTCCTAACAGGGTCCAACAAGAAACACTGGTGGGCCACATGTACAGGCAAAGCCCGCTTAAGGAAGCCTATAACCTGTGAGGAAAGTAGGAAGACTTCAATGGAACATTCGGATTTGCATGAACTTAGAGTGCAATCTTCAGAGAGAAACATTTACAATGGATAAGACTAATCTCATATTATTATAACTTTGAATGAACAGCTACTTTAATTTTCTTTATCGTAAGTAACAATCAAACCCATAATTAAAGAAGCCTTTTATCGGCCAGCTGTAATATACGTATGATGCACGATCCTCGCAGTAGAGAGGATCGTGCTGTAATATACTAGAACAACCTGTAATTACAAAAAGTTCTTTATTAAATATCATTTACTGAAACATGCTTCCTCAACCAGAATCATAAGCCCGCGAAATTTCTCTTGAAGGTTGTTCTTTTCCACGAGATTAGACGTACAGCGCCAAAACGTCAAAACAGACTTGCCCTTGGTTGTCAGTGTGATGATGCTTTTTCAAATCTTCCCCGTACCAAAACCTTAGTTCGCCACCCTGCTTCAAGTAAAACGGGTGGGAAAAATCCGTGAAGACAATCTCAGTCGAGTGTCTGATAAAAAAAAAATGTTCTTTAGAAAAAGCTAAGAGGCTCGGATAGCATGCAAAAAAAAAAAAAAAAAAAAAAAGAAAAGCGAGACTAACTGACACGTTGAATAGGTTTACAAATTAATTGGTTCTTTGTTTCACTGAATTACAGACTGACTGATTTATTTTGGATATATCAACAAAGTTGAAATGGTAAATTGGCCACCGGTAAATTGAATCGTAACGGTGGCCAATTTACCATTTCAACTTTGTTGTTATATCCAAATTATTTCGTTACCCCCACCTACGCAGCCCCAAACAGTTTCTTTAGAAACTATCAGCCTTTATGACTGATTTATTGATTGATTGATTGATCAGCCAAAAGACTAACCGACCGCCTGATCAAAAACCTGGCCGCTATACTGATTGAATGGTGGACTGCGTGATTGAGCGACTAATTGAATGACTGAATGACAGCTGACTGGCTGACTGACATGCCCACTGTCTAAATAACTAATTGATTGGCTGGCTAACTGACAGCTTTAGTATGAAACTGACTAGATGACTGACTGACTGACTGACTGAAATATTGATAAACTGACAGACCGACTGATTGATTGACTGACAGACTGACCGAGTGGTTGACTGACTGACTGAGTGACTGACTGAGTGACTGACTGACTGACTGAGGGACTGACTGACTGATTTAGTGGTTAACTGACTAACTGACTGACTGACTTAGTGGTTGACTGAGTGACTGACTGACTGACTTAGTGGTTGACTGACTGACTGACTGACTGAGGGACTGATTTAGTGGTTTACTTTTTTAGTTGTTGACTGACTGACGGACAAACAGATTGACGCAATTGCTAACTCACTGTCTGACTGATTGACTGATTGATTGACTGACTGACTGACTAACTGACTGACTATCTGACTTACTGACTGGCTGACTGACTGATTGATTGAATGACTGGTTGAGTGACTTTCTTAATGCCTGACTGGTTGGATGGCCGAGTTAGAGGATCGACCAACTGCTGGAAAAACAGATTGACGCGATTGCTAACTCACTGTCTGACTGATTGACTGATTGATTGACTGACTGACTGACTAACTGACTGACTATCTGACTTACTGACTGGCTGACTGACTGATTGATTGAATGACTGGTTGAGTGACTTTCTTAATGCCTGACTGGTTGGATGGCCGAGTTAGAGGATCGACCAACTGCTGGAAAAACAGATTGACGCGATTGCTAACTCACTGTCTGACTGACTAACCGACTGAGTGATCGACAAATTGAAATCCTGATAAGCTGAGCCGCTGAATGATTGAAAAATGAATTGGGTGGCTGCTTACCAATTAATAGTTAACGGGAGCCAAGCGGTACACTCGGAATTCTGACTGACTACTGACAGGTAGATTTCGGAATAACTGATTGATTGATTTACCAAGTGACCTATAGGCTGACTGACTGACTGATTGATCGACTGACTGCTGTCTGACACTCCGACTGATTGGCTTTCTTACCATCCGTCTGACTCCGACAAACTAAATGACTGTCTGACTACGACTACAACGTCTACGATTTAACTTTATTATATATATATATTGAAGACATTCTTCTTACACTGCATCGGCCAGTGGTATATAATACCACATCCCAGAGGATTCTTTAATGAACTCTTTCAATGGATAGATCACGTGGTTAGATCTGTCTGTAACAATGATGTTGAATCCGTTGTCTTTGTCACAGCCCCAGTTGCTGTTGTAAGCTTCATCTGTGGCACACCTTTAGAAAACAATTATCTAGTTGTGTAATTATCTAGTCGAGTATGACCGCTACTTTGTGATTTCCGATGTCGTCAGTCGGACTACTATTTTTCGCTAAAGCCGAGTGAGACATTTCCGGATCCGAAAAAAAAGAGTTTGATTTACTTGAGGAAAAAGGCATGACATTCACCAGCCTTTGCGCCCCCAGTATATTCCCCAACGGATTTATCATGCCCTCTATACCCTTGTGATATTAAGGCGCTTTTGCGACAAAAATCAGAGATTGGGTTGTCTGGTATCGTCGAAGCATAGTTAGGTACCTGAAACCCGACCGCCCGCCCAGATAGCCGCTTCATCATTTCATTTCTGAATAATAATAATAATAATAATAATAACAATAATAATAATAATAATAATAATAATAATAATAATAATAAGGACTATCTTCTTATAGAAACGACTCCCCCTTGGTACTCCCCGATACAACCAAAACCAGTGTACGAGAACAACCAAGTTACTGCTTGCTGAGATGTCCCTGTCAGTACGCGTATAATACAGAAGTAAGAGCTAACAGAGTAAATGCAAGGCTTGTAGACAAATGAAGCAAGATCGTCAGTTTATTAGAAATGAGAAAACCGTTACCAGAAAGACCAGGAAAACACACAAAAGTAGGCGGCTCTACGCTGGGAGCTTAAACGGCAATACCCTGAATTCGAGATACGTCAAGGCAACTGAATTGTAGATGTTTTGGGGGAGATACTCTAAGAATGTTGGAAGGAATGTTAGAGAATTGTTAGGTACAAAGAGAGGGAGAGAAGTCCTTCGTCAGTTGCAGAAAGCTGTCCTCAGCGCCAGTCTGAACATCGCCAGAACCTTTAAGGTTCTTAATTCGTTTAGAACTCTCGCACATGCCCGCCAGCGAGCTACTTAAGGACTCATATAGGTTTTTATGATGCATTGCTTATTTAGATTATTGATTTTATGTGACTTTTTCCTTTTATAGTAGATTGGCAATTTCATGTAATTTTAGTATGTAAATAAGACTTAGGCTAGCCACGGTCAACGCCTAGCCTGAGTGAGTAGGATCAGCACCCATATGTGTATATACTGCCATATAATATTAATTATAATAATAATCATAATAATTACAATTTATTATTTTTATTATTATTATTATTATTACTCTTTAAAGATAAAGAGATGAACCCGTTCTCACCTGATCTTCCCACGCTGATGCTTTAGTTTCAACGCAGCCACCAGTTGACCTTTGCCGATGTATTGCAAACGACCATAGCCATTATCTCTTGCATTAACACACACTGGAGAAAAAGTGATCTGTTTCCAACCGTCCGCTGGCGGATCTGTGAAGAAGGTAGAAATAGCTAGAAATTTGCCAGCCATTGAATTAATCGCAGGTAAGGCTGAGTTGGAATCTTTGGTTCACTATGGCGACGATAAATGACATGATGAAATTCGATCCAAAACGATATTGAGTTCTAAAATATTTGCTCAGTTGAACTTATTTACCCGTTGACAAAAAGCCTTATGTTATGAGTATATCAACACCTTTAAGTGACACTGAGTTATTTCATTTTTTTTCAGGTGTATCTTGTTTGGGTAACAAATTAAACAACTATTGCCGTTTGATTAAAATTACAATTGCATACTTTTAGGATGAAGATCGTTACCTGGCAGTTCAAATGGTTAGTAATGGAAACAACGATGATTTCCCTAAACCTGAGTGAGTTAATAAACTCAGAGACTAGGTATCGTCGACATTCGTTTGGTAAAAATCGGCATCAAGTTAATTACCTTTATTAAACAATTCGATTGTAATCGGTCAGGGCGCGTTTTGATCACGTTTTCGATCTAAGGATAGTTTTGGTTTCTGATTTCTTCCATGTATTTGCCTCCCAAAAACTGACTTATTTTTAACACGTATTTAGATTACTGAACGTGAGCGACTAAGCCGAGTTTCCCACCCCGTCGTAAAAGTAGTTGAGATAATTTACCAAGACAAGAAATAATTGTTCACCACTATTTTCCTCTTTGCAATGTTTCTAACTAAGCATCATCATGTACAAAACTTCGATGAACAATACTGAATCAGGAAAGGGGGAAAGTTTTGGTGTTTTAGCATACAATTTCTTCTTGGCCATCCGATAAAGTCGGACGGTAAACGCACTTTTTTTCTCAATGTGTCTCAACATTTTTGTAGCTGGTTGTTGTATTTCTAAGTTGTATCACCATTTAGGTTTAACTTACAAAATCAATTATAGACTTACCATTCGCAATAACACTGCCAATGGTAACGATGTAAATAAATGTAAAAATCATTCTTGCAAGACTATGCCAAGTGCTTCTGCTGACGTCTTCCGGGATAATCTACTAATTTCTTTTTGGATTCGGAAGTGATGCAGGTATAAGTTGTCGCTGTCGTGATGTACTCTGTACAAATGAAGTTAATAAATGTGACACGGAAGTTTCATTGGAGCAATAAACTGACTCTAACCAGGGTGCAAACAATGTACTTTATTTAGCAATGAACCAATATCTTTTCGTCAAAGAACTAAAATTAAAAACACATTTTTGTTTGATGAGAGAACAGCTGTAAACCGAGTTTGTCTTTTGCCATGGCGATATTGTACAACTGTTTACACTTTGCACATTTTTGTACAACAATGAGCCATTTCCAAGGCAATTCCCACAAAATCAAATAAAACAAACGAAAAACATGATTAAAGTCAAAGTTAGTTAACACTTTTCCATCACACCTTATCTTCATGTACACGTACATTTCTGATTTTCGCACGAATGATATTTTCAGTTGATATTTTCCACGCTAATCAAGAAGAAATGGAGTTACCATTTAATAATTAGACGATGAGTTCGATTTAGGTTTAGACGCCTGAAAGCTAATGACGACGAAGCCAGAGTGAACTAAAAGGTAGAAATGGACGGCGTATAATCTGTATTTAAAGTATAATTATACTATCCGTTCAAAACCTAGCTACAACACATGTACAGGCTCGTGTTTTTATTCATTCTACCGACAACTGCACTCTGTTGGGCTACTTAATCTACTCACTATCCATCAGAGTCTGAATAGCGAGCGTCGTAACCAATCAGACTACACCAGGAATATCAACACACACACAACCCACAATTCCTCCAATCGCTCTGACGAAGGGCTGACGCTCGAAACTTCGATCAGCTTTGAAACTCTTTACGGTGGTCAATTATAAAACATAATCGTAAAACCAAAATTACCTTGTTGTACTCCCCCACCGATGCAGCACCTCAATTTCTTTAGACACTTGCTCCCTTCATACACCAACAATAGATTCACCGACGTTTAACGTTTGACTCCCAAAGGCATGACGAGAGCATATCCCTAACATGTTGGAATCGTGGCGTAACATTTTGAAAAATCTTCAACTTCGTAATTCTCTCAGAATGGTAAGAAGAAAATTGATATGAAATTTCTGCCGTCTCCTCGTCCCAATCTCCCCAAGGGGTACCCGTTTGAGCTAAGATATTGACACTTGTACTAATACTGACTCGCGATCGTCAGTGGCTCGTGTCAGTTCTGGTTTTACTAACACCATTTAAGGCGTCACACCATTTAAGGCTGAGTGTCACAAATTCTCGAGGCGCGAACAACCAACTAGTAAGTGCAGCTTTGAGACTTTTTCCTCGTAAGTTTACTAAAAATTATACAACCTTAGTTCATTTTTTATTCATTTGTTAAGCTAATAAAAAAGACATTTCCACGTTAAACACGCTTGTAAATCATTTGTTAGTCTACGAGAAGACTGTTGGCTTTTCAATTTTATTAATAGAAGACAGGCAAATAGAACGACAATTTTTAATTGGAAAATCACACAACTAAATTAGAGAGCATTTGAAAAATATAAAATTTATTTTTCTTAATTCGCAATGCATTCGACTTTCGACCTGCTGAATAAAAATTTTGAAATCAATACCACATGTAAAAAATAATATTTCATTTGAGGCCAATGCGTGCTCTTTTTCTTATATGTTGGGGACAACTATTAACTTGGGCGGTGGTAGTAAATTAAGTATTTAATATAAATCATATAATTTCTAACTTAGAAGTTTCTCAGGCGGTTACATGCAAAGTTGGTACGATCATTATGTAAGATATATAAACCCCAAGCCAAGCAATCGCTTTTGGAAAAAATCAGTGGGGACGTGAAATATTTCTTAGAGGAAAATCAAACTTTTTTTTTTATTTTGGGTTATTAAATTATTTAAGTATCGTCTCTTATTAAAGTTTTCTGTTCTTGAGTACAATGAAAATATTTCATTTTCTTTAAACAGAAGTGCCAATAAAATGAATACAACACTGTATGTTCTTTTAATAAAACCTCATTAGCTTTATTCGACCAAAGCATTCGACAAAGAAGCGGCGCTTTACAGAAACGGACGGGACTCGCCCAGAAGATAAAAACTCTGACAATGTTATTGCCTTTTGTTCTGCTCGGTTTTGTAGTTCCAAGTTTTACACAACAACTAGGTGAGTGCTATACTTATGTTAAAACGTTATCTCAATTTAATGCCCACCTATAAATCATGATCAAGCATGAGAATAAAATAAAAAGACGCAAAGAGATTTCTGATATTTTCCTATCACAAGTTACTAGAAGAAATCCGAGAATGATACTCTAACCGCCAATTTTTCAAAATCTTATAAACAGTTATCACTGATCAGAATGTGTACCAAAAGACTAAAAAAAAACGATCGGACTTTCGTTTGAAGACTGCGTGAAAAAAAGGAAAAAAAAAAAAAAAAAAAAAGAGGAAGAAAAACGGATCAACAACATGTTATATAGAGTCAAGTTATTCTATAGCTTACAAACTGCAGTGGTAATAGAAGTTAATGTCATAATCGCAAGCGGAGGACAAAATGTTTCTTTAGACGACCTAAACATCGTTCGAAGGCAGTTCCCAGGGAAATAATACAATATTGATCACTGAACTCATCATATTCGTTTTCAAGCGTTCGCAGTCTTCTCAATTATTACTTTTATTGTTTTTTTATTGGAAGTTGACAAAGGGAACTAGTGCAATCCTTTCTGTAAATAGAATAAGGAAGACGGTAGGTTTTGAGCTCGGTAAAGA